ATAGACCGTTTTATAGACCTAATTTTTCTTATATTATTTATATGGCTTCTCCGGGGGATCGGTCATTAAATGTTTGTTTAATACTTTTTCCCAGAGCTTGATGCTCATTAATCTTAAACTTATGATGATCAAGCTCCTCATAATTCTGATCTTCAGTCTATTGTTGCGATGAGATTGGAAATTGAGGATTATTCCAGCAGGCGATTTCTATCTAAATAGTCTCCTCTTAAATGTCTTGTTGGGGCGAATGACTCCGACATTCACTAAGGGTGGCCACTCACCCTCCTCTACATCCACGATGAATTTGAGTATTTCATCGAATTGGCTTATAAAGTTATGGAAATCTTCTCAAATTTCTCTACCATCCAAATAAAGTGCAAAGTAGTCACCCAGGAATCGCATAAACACTCTCGGTTGCAGCAATGACTTCTCGAATTCCTTTTATAATTGGTCCATTTTCCAAACGAGATAAGTGGATATCCCATAGGTAGTACAAATATTTGAGCATACACATTATGTATATATATATTCCATAATGTCCTTATTAGTGTTATGTTACAGACTTTTTCCATATCCTCCCACACTTCTGGGATCTCCAATAATTTAGGTTTGCATCTAGTAGACATAAGCATAATTATATTTTGTGCTGGTCTGATTTAATTTTCGGAACTTGTTCGAGGAAAAAGGAAGGCTTGTGGAACTTAACCATCCCTGTATTCTCTGTAATTGTATTAATGGTGATTTTCAGTATTGCTCCAGTGACTTGATATATTTCCAAACGTTTCACCAGCATCGTCAATGAGAGGAGCCAACCTAAGTACCGAGTTACAGTTTGTAAAAATTAAAAGTTGAAGACGATCCCTTAACCAATTTCCCCTGTCCCAGCTCCCAGAGTTCCATCATCATCCCTCAACCCTACTTCACATAGCCAATTTATTAATCTACACCTTTGTGACTCCGTTTATTTCAATGTCGTCTAAGTGTGTTACTTCAAGCGGAATTGATGAAGCGTGATCACCTTCATCATCGGTTCTGGATGCTGCTCGCAGAGATTCTGGAACCCAATCTGTACTTCATTTGTCAACCAACTTGACTCCACTTGTTAGCTGTTCTCTTTTGTCGTTGAAAATCATTTCCATCTTCCGTTTTCACAATAAAAGGCTAATCTTTCAGTTGTATTCCATTTGATGCTGTGACCGGTCACTGAAATGTGTTCCTCTATTTCTAGTCTTTCTCTGTTCATGGTTCTGCATAGACGCTGCTGTTCTTTAATTCGAGTAATGATTGGTATCCCCATTTTTCTAATATATCTTGGTTTCCAGTCGCTGCAGTGGACTTTTAATGCAGAGTAAATTTGTACGAATATTACATTTAGTCAGCAACGGCCGCAACCTCCAGGCCAGTTAACGGGACGGGATACCTATATACATTTAAGTACCTGTCTCTCTTATTTTTATTTCAGAATCACCGTCTTGCCATTTGGTCATCACAATCAGTATACTTCTCTGTATAGGGTCCTTTGGATATCGATTATTAAAGGCATTCTGCATCCTTTAATTTTAGGCATTTTATGCTCATGCCAATCATTATTACAATCTTCAGTCTGTAGTCATGGTGAAAGTGAAAAAAATGAGAATTATTCTGGAGTAAGATTTATTTCTAAATAATCGTCCTCAAGGCTATCAATTGAGCGTATCACATCAATATCCTTGAACAGTAATAAACCGCCCCGTAACTCAACTTCGGATTTTACTTTTTCATCAATCTGGCCCATGATTCATAAGAAAGTCCCCCCAAAACATGGCTTTACAGTTGTCCTTTACTGTATGATGAGCTCCAGAGGAGCGTTCTGCCAAAAATGTAGACTGCTTGGAGAATTGAAGAAGTAGAGCCCCTTCTTCGACTAATTTCGTACACCTTAAGAATCACATTTGGCCATGCCACATTAAAATTACTCAAATTATTGCTTTCAACACTCAAAATAACTACTTGCACAACGCAGCCTTGTCTCAAAATCTGACTGTCCTTCCGATCGATTGTCCGAAAACGAGGCTGGCCAATAAATGTGAGCGTACTATTTTGAAAGTTTTCTCAACCTGGTGCATAAACTAAGAAAAATCGATCCGAGCTATTAAACATGTGTCTCTTGGTCAGAATAGAAGGCTTTAGGATAGGCGCGCGCCATCGAGCACCAGACCCAAAGCAGCAAACTGATTAGGAGTGGACGCTTGTTTTTGGATTTGAGTAGTGAATTGCATTTCGTGTAAAAGGAATTCGTGGTTCGAACTATCCAAACTAAGACGGCTGAATTTTATCGTTCTGCCATCGTTTGATTTTGTCCAGAACTTCAGAATTCTGATGAAAATGTGGTGAGTTTGCATCTGCCAAGTGACAGATAGCATCGGAACTGGGTCTCACTCTTAAGTACACTTCAATCCAACACTGAGCCAAGAAGAAAAACCGGATCCTAAGTACAGCAAAGACAAAAAGGACCCAAAAATATATGAGTATATAAATATGTATAAATAAATATAAATATTTATATAAATATAAAGATATATAGAGATAGATATATAGACAAAATGATCTGGATAGATGCTTCTTGTGTCATTTTGAGTGTGTGGGTCGTGTGTACGGGTGTATGTTAGGTTAACAAAGCATCAGTCATAACTTTGTGCTAACAACTCATGAATTGGAGTTTCCAAATCCTGGCAAATACATCCACACCAACATACCACTATTTAGAATGACATTAAAAGGAAGTAAGCAAATCCCTGAATGCCTAGCTGCACATCTTCATTTGTTAATATATGTATGGCAAAAATGAATTTCAATTTTTAGTGAAAATGAGATCCAGCTTTAACAAAGTCCGTCAAGTGGTAGGACGGACGAAACCTCAGCTTATTTTCACAAAACAGCTCGTGTACTACACTAAGTTGCGTACTATAGAAATACCAAACGTTGCCGAGTCGAAGGAATCTGCCGTAAAATTGTGGTCAGATAGATTTAAAGAGCTCGTCATCAGACCCTGTCAAACAAAACGAAATGTATCTAAAGACATATTTCGAAACCCATAAAACTTCGCACATAAATTTTTTGTGTTTATTCCAACTTAGGCCATGTAGATATTTTAGTAGAAAAAAACATTTTCCCGACAACATACTTCCTAAACATGCTTCTGAGGAAATTAGATTCACTAAGTCCCAAAGTTTGCTACATCCAATAAAAGTGACTCAGTTGCTATATTTTTAGCACTTATAGTCTCTCCATAAACGCACAATGGGCGGCACATCAAAAAACAATCTTTTCTGAGTGCAGTAACACCCCGACGATGTAGAATTCGGTTTGACCGGATAATTGAATAGAGGAATGTGAAGACTGATTTGAACTCGAGTGGTGAGTACAAAGTTCGTCAACCGCTGGAGATGACTGATCCGAACCGCAGGAACATGATCGCAGGATGGGCGATCTGCCAAGACACTTTTACTATGGCATTTCTTTTTCAAAGGGGGGCGAAATTCTCGAGAAAGACGAGCAGCAGCCTTCTTTGTTGACCCAAGAAGGGGAGGCCCCGAAAGTAGTTCAGCATAGACATCGGCCAGACTGCGCACTGTGGCTGTGGGGAAGATGGCCTGAAGTTCACTCAAACTGTGGAGGTTCAACCGAGCGTGGAATAATGAAATAAAGCAAGAGCTTGATTAGAAGTAAGTATCTTACTCAAAAACTGAAAATATCAGAGCATATTTAGGTACAGTGGAATGCAAATATTTTGCTACTACTGTTCAAAGCTTAGCCTTCCTTGGAGTGGACGGAAATTGACGTGACCGCCTCCGGGTGCCTAATTAAAAAGGACAACTCCGAAAAGAATTTACATACAACCACTAGCTTATTGCATTTTTAACGAATTTGAAATAAAACAGTAAATTCGAGAGACAAAAGTTGGGCAATCCTGTCAGTCATTGCCTTTAGACACCTTCCTGGGCAAAGGTAGCAGCTACCAAGGGTTTTACGTAGCAAGCTAATAATTTTAATTTTTTTTACGTAATTTTTTCTCTCCTCTCTTTGCATAACTTTGGAAGAACATAAATCTTCTTAAGCCTGCATGTTTGAGGCCTACCAGCAGATCTAAAATAGCGTTCCATCGTGAGACTAAAAATGCTTTTTCAAAATATTTATCGTACTTTTCTACATGTAAAGAATGACTGGCCTCATGGGATCACGGATCGTTATATTACTTTAATTCATTTGCTGACCATAGGATATAAACTCTGAGGATCCTTCAAATGCATAACTTTTTATTTCATTGACTACAACACAATCCCAAAGCATAAGATGTTCCTTCATGCGATTAAGAGTTGGCAGGAATTTTGTAAGGGCTCCACCTTTTATTCTCCAACTGTTTGTTAGTGGCTAAACAGTAAAATTTTGTTTTTATCAATCCTAAGTACATTACGCCAAAATTCTTATGGATTTTTAAGACTTTTATGATTAGTACATAGAAAATATTGTCGTCTGCACTTCTTCTAAGCAGCAAAATAAATTTATTGTTCTAGTACCGTAGATCCTTGAGCAAGTACTCCAGCCCTTTGTGCTGATCCATCGATTTTTTATGAAGATTCGTTAGTTTTTGAGGAAATCCCTAAAGCGATTTTTCATGGATTGTTATAACTAGCCTTGACTTCAACATTTCTAAGAATGCATCGTCCTCAATAGCAAATCTTTAGAAAGATACCTAGAATAGTCCATGATTAAGGAAAGGAGACAGAACATCAATCACAAGAACATAGTATTTCAGCATACTAACCTTATTAACGCATTAAATGAACTAGTTTATGGTATAAAAAGTCTATCAAATGTTTGGGTTTCAGAAATAACAATTTAAAATAATAAAAATGAGCCAAAAATTAATTTTCGCTATTTGTATATTAAATGTGTAAAAAAATGCATATGAATACTAATTATGGACAAATCTTTCAGGAGTGCACAGCCTTCGGTAAGGTTTACCCATAATTACTATTCATATGCATTTTTTTGTTATTGAGTAGGTTTTTGAGACTATCCGTAAATGAGATATATGAGTTTTGTTCTCCTTATTTTGTGTAAGGTTCATCAACAATCCCAACACAGAATGTGTTATGTAAAGTGCCTTCTCTGTGATCCAAGGTCACTTATGGCAATGTCGCGGAGTGGTTAAAGTCTCGAGCTTACACCCCATACTGTAATGGTTCAAACCCCTCTGTGGGTGTTGATAATACCTAGGCGAGATCGAAACTGCAATCCACCCTTGGCAAGAACACCTTTTTGGGAAATATATATACATATAGATAGATAGATAAATAGATAAATATATAAATAAATAAATAAATAGATAGATAGATAGATAGATAGATAGATAGATAGATAGATAGATAGATAGAT